TAAAAAAAATTGGTGTCAGTTAGTGTTAATGTCAGTGTGTTTTAGGTAAAAAAAAAAAGACAAAAACAAAATGCGCACTATTGTTTCTGGGCTGTACTCCGGATACAAACAACAAATAACATACACATATATGGTATCGCTGAGATCGTCAAGAGCTGAAGAATTTATTTTGGGTTGTTCTTTGGTGGTAGGTTATGGTAGTAACAAGAAACACACAGCTAAATTAAAAAAAAAGATTTTTTTTTTAATATTTTGGGCCAGTTTTCCTTTGATAATAAAAAAATCAGGAGATATCTATTACCATTTACCACCAAATGAAAGCCCAATTTGTCCTGAAAAAAACGCGGTATAATCCACCCGGATGTACAAAGCAGTTGTGATGATACGGACGTTTTTACTATCACATGTCAAAGTTGCAGAATTGTGCTTAGGCATTTACATTTGTTTTACCCTTAGGCGTGAATAACGCAGAGTCGTATCGCCAAAAAAAAAAAAATATATAGTCAGGTCAGGAGGGGGGTGGCAAACCTTCCAAAAGTCAAGTGATTATTAAAGTTATGCCCATTTCTGCATTACTGTCAGTACAGCCCTCGCAATACGGTACGGTAGGTTACAACTGCTAGAAGTCATAATGTGCGGAACGGAGACATCTCTGAAAAAAGAAACGATTGGGGAATAAGGGGGATTAGGGGACATAAAGGTTTATTCGCAGAAATCCCAATTCCTAGTTTGGTTACATCTGCAGCACATTGTTGAAGTGTCAGAGGACCGGCCCCCTTCCATCTAAACCCCGGAACATTCACATGTGTGATGGGTTTTGACAGCTCATGCGAGGAGTGCTGAACACAGTTGTCAAACATGACGCTAAATTGTGACACACACAATATAAACAGCGACTGATTATCCAGGAAATGTGCTCTGGATGGGGTTACCCGATACAATTTCCACCGTGTACGAGCCGCAGGGCCAGAGATCAGATCACAATAATTATGTAATATGAAAACTTGCACGGGGCTTCCAAGTGAAGACTCAGGGGTGGCGATAAAGATTTTGGTTTTTGAATAAACTTTCATGTGTTTACAATTTACAAACAGGACAGAAAGATGTGTAGGGTTCTAATTATCTACTTGCTGACCCAACTCGGTGCTTTTAGAGCGGCAAGTACAGTGAAGGAAATGCATATTTGATCCCCTGCTGATTCTGAATGTTTGCCCCTCACAAAGAAATGATCGGTCTGACAATGGAATGTTCGGTGTAACACTGAGAGACAGAATACAACAAATTCAGCAGAAATGCATCTAACAAATGATGACTGATCTGCATGTTCATGAGGGAAAGAAGGATTTGATCCCCTATCATTCAGCAGGATTTCTGGCTACCAGATGTCTTTCATACAGGTAACAAGCTGAGATTAGAAGCAGTCTCTTAAAGGGAGTGCTGCTAATCTCATTTTGTTAGCTGTATAAAAGACGCCTGTCCACAGGAGCAATCGAACACTTAAGATCACAATGAGATCAAATACTTATTTCCTTCACTGTACAGGCACCGCAACTTACTGGTTCTTCGCTGCCTGTTTCCAGGTTTGGGGCGTGCGCCCCCACCCACTTATTCCCCTGTGATTTGACACAGTAGAAGTTCATCAACAGATCCTGGCCAATGATTCATGGCTGGGACCCGCCGACGGGTTGTGTGCAACCACAGCCTAGAGCCCTGTGTTGGTAAACAACACAGAGCTCTATATCAAGGGAGCGATCGCTTTGTTACTTTTCTCTGCTAAGCAGGAAAAAGAAGTGGATTGATCTGCAATACAAAGCAGTAAACCGTAAACACAACACCACTTGTAAGGCTCATACAGTTAACCCCTTCATTGCCCTTGGATGTTAACCCCCTCCCAGCCAGTGTCATTAGTATAGGGATCACTGTATTAGTGTCACTGGTGATGTCAGTGTTATTGGACTGCTCCAGTCTTAAGCCCCCCCATTCCTACTTGTTAATTATTTATTTCAGGTACGTATATAACGCCATTAATTTACGTAGCGCTTTACATATATATTGTACATTCCCATCAGTCCCTAACCCTCAAGGGGTGTACAATCTAAGGTCCCTAACCCTCAAGGGGCGTACAATCTAAGATCCCTAACCCTCAAGGGGCGTACAATCTAAGGTCCCTAACCCTCAAGGGTGTACAATCTAAGGTCCCTAACCCTCAAGGGGTGTACAATCTAAGGTCCCTAACCCTCAAGGGGCGTACAATCTAAGGTCCCTAACCCTCAAGGGGTGTACAATCTAAGGTCCCTAACCCTCAAGGGGCGTACAATCTAAGGTCCCTAACCCTCAAGGGGCGTACAATCTAAGGTCCCTAACCCTCAAGGGGTGTACAATCTAAGGTCCCTAACCCTCAAGGGGCGTACAATCTAAGGTCCCTAACCCTCAAGGGACGTACAATCTAAGGTCCCTAACTCACATTCATACATACACATACTAGGGACAATTTAGACAGGAGCCAATTAACCTACCAGCATGTCTTTGTAGTGTGGGAGGAAAACCGGAGTACCCGGAGGAACCCACGCAGGCACAGGGAGAACATGCAAACTCCAGGCAGGTGGTGCAAGGGTTGGGATTCGAACCAACGACCCGAGTACTGCCAGGTGGAAGTGCTAACCATTTAGCCACTGTACTTTCCCTTTACATGAACAGCACATCCCCTCCCTATTGTTTACATTTCCTAAATACATACCTTAAAGTTGTTGAAAGCCTCTGAAATGAAAAATGAACAAAGCATATAATGTGTACCTGCCACAATCCAAAGCACCAAGTGTGATTTCTGTTTACTCTCTCATTCCCCTGCTAACTGCATGAGTTACTTCTGATAGGTTATTACAACATAAAATCATAGGAGACAACCCTGCCCACCTCCAGCAGACAACTGACCGTCTCAGATGTGCATGTTTCCCTAGGAGACTGTGTAGAAGGGGGGGTGTCCATGCCCTCCACTCAGGTCTCAGACTACACTCAGCTCCCTGCTCTATGCTGTGCAGTGTGTGACATCAGATCCCCGCCCCCTGCCATCTGAAGTTCAAAAATGCTGTATAAAATGTGCACTTTGGATATCTGTAGGAGAGGGCTACAGATTAACAGGTACAACGTATGTAGGAGGATTTGTTTCATCTCTGTGTACCATCTGAGGCCGGTCACTACATTGGGTTTATGGAAGTGTTTACAACCACTTTAATTCCACCTGTCTTTTGCTCTCTTTGATGACATCCTAGGTATTTCCTCCTCTTGCTTGGCATCGGGCGATCCCTACTGCAGCACTGAACCGGGTTCACGTTATAACTGCTATGTATGTTCTGTGAGGTCAGGGCGATGTGATGTGTCCAGCCAGGATGAATGATGCTGGTTATCAGTTAACACGGAAGTGATGAAGACCAGGGAGGGTGGTGTCGGAGCATGGAGAGGGTAAGTAGTGCAAAGAAAAACAAACTATTTTTTTGGAACATTTTTGGGGGTGGGATCAAAAAAATAAACCCCCAAAGCTCTATCCTAAAGGACTATCAAATTTTGTATAAACTGCAGTGAAAAAAACTATGAAAACTGCACTGCAGGACAGACGGTTTGTGGAAGAATTTCTAGCAAGTGATCCTCTTTAAAGCACACACAATTAGGAAGTAGTAAAAGCACAACATAAATCTAACACCTACTGTAAGCACGGTTGCTATGGGAACTATTGAAATAAATATAGTGGATAATGAATCTAACATTTCAAAATAGAAGCATTTCTGTCTTTTTTATCATTTTTGGATGATAGCAAGACCACTCTTACATTCTGCTCAAGGGTAATAATCATTCTAATATATTCCATTTCCTTTCTCGGGATATTCACTGTTCTCCTATACTCCATAAACTTTTCTCACAGCCCTGATGAAGCAGAGGTAGATCCCCGAAACGCGTTAGTTTCTATTGGTGAAACTCTCTCGACAAGCAACATTGAGATGGCCTTCGTTGGACTCTGGCCTGACACCCCCCGAGAGGTGCGCTCTCTGTATTTCAATAGATTTACTGTAAGATCAGACGTTTCTACAGCTATAAGTAAGCTGCGCGGTACCAGCAGTTATCAGAATCTGAATGCATAGGCTTCTTGTTCCTATCTGCTTATCAGGGAAATGATTACCATTCATGTTTGTATATAGCGTATTTAGGTCAATTTAAAGGGAGTAAATGGGGAGTACTATGGGGTAAACAAATATGGAATTATTTAAATTGCAAGATTCAAGGCCGTCACCTTCGTCTTGGTGTAACTGCATACAGTAGCTTTTCTCAGACGAGGTTCTGTGGAATCGTAGGGTTCCTCCAGAGTTTGTTACAGGTTCCTTGAGCAATTCAGACCTCTCAAATAAGTAATCACTGACACTACATCTTTTTAGCTATTTCTAAGGGGAACATTCTTCCCACTGACTACCAATGTAAGGAGCATTCTTCTCACTGACCACCAATGTAAGGAGCATTCTTCCCACTGACCACCAATGTAAGGGACATTCTTCCCACTGACCCCCAATGTAAGGGACATTCTTCACACTGATCACCAATGTAAGGGACATTCTTCCCACTGACCACCAATGTAAGGGACATTCTTCACACTGATCACCAATGTAAGGAGCATTCTTCACACTGATCACCAATGTAAGGGCATTCTTCCACTGACCACCAATGTAAGGAACATTCTTCCCACTGACCACCAATGTAAGGGACATTCTTCCCACTGACCACCAATGTAAGGAACATTCTTCCCACTGACCACCAATGTAAGGGACATTCTTCCCACTGATCACCAATGTAAGGAGCATTCTTCCCACTGACCACCAATGTAAGGGACATTCTTCCCACTGACCACCAATGTAAGGGACATTCTTCCCACTGACCACCAATGTAAGGACATTCTTCCCACTGACCACCAATGTAAGGGACATTCTTCCCACTGACCACCAATGTAAGGAGCATTCTTCCCACTGACCACCAATGTAAGGGACATTCTTCCCACTGACCACCAATGTAAGGGACATTCTTCCCACTGACCACCAATGTAAGGGACATTCTTCCCACTGACCACCAATGTAAGGGCATTCTTCCCACTGACCCCCAATGTAAGGAGCATTCTTCCCACTGATCCCCAATGTAAGGGACATTCTTCCCACTGACCCCCAATGTAAGGGACATTCTTCCCACTGACCACCAATGTAAGGGACATTCTTCCCACTGATCACCAATGTAAGGGACATTCTTCCCACTGACCACCAATGTAAGGGACATTCTTCCCACTGACCACCAATGTAAGGGACATTCTTCCCACTGATCACCAATGTAAGGGACATTCTTCCCACTGACCGCCAATGTAAGGGACATTCTTCCCACTGACCCCCAATGTAAGGAGCATTCTTCCCACTGATCACCAATGTAAGGGGCATTCTTCCCACTGACCACCAATGTAAGGGACATTCTTCCCACTGACCCCAATGTAAGGGACATTCTTCCCACTGACCACCAATGTAAGGAGCATTCTTCCCACTGACCACCAATGTAAGGGACATTCTTCCCACTGACCACCAATGTAAGGAACATTCTTCCCACTGACCGCCAATGTAAGGGACATTCTTCCCACTGACCGCCAATGTAAGGGACATTCTTCCCACTGACCGCCAATGTAAGGGACATTCTTCCCAATGACCCCCAATGTAAGGGACATTCTTCCCACTGACCCCCAATGTAAGGAGCATTCTTCCCACTGATCACCAATGTAAGGGACATTCTTCCCACTGACCCCCAATGTAAGGGACATTCTTCCCACTGACCCCCAATGTAAGGGACATTCTTCCTACTGACCCCCAATGTAAGGGACATTCTTCCCACTGACCCCCAATGTAAGGGACATTCTTCCCACTGATCACCAATGTAAGGGACATTCTTCCCACTGACCACCAATGTAAGGGACATTCTTCCCACTGACCACCAATGTAAGGGACATTCTTCCCACTGACCCCCAATGTAAGGTGCACTCTTCCCACTGATCACCAATGTAAGGGACATTCTTCCCACTGACCACCAATGTAAGGGGCATTCTTCCCACTGATCACCAATGTAAGGGACATTCTTCCCACTGACCACCAATGTAAGGAGCATTCTTCCCACTGACCCCCAATGTAAGGGACATTCTTCCCACTGATCACCAATGTAAGGAGCATTCTTCCCACTGATCCCCAATGTAAGGGACATTCTTCCCACTGATCCCCAATGTAAGGAGCATTCTTCCCACTGATCACCAATGTAAGGGACATTCTTCCCACTGACCCCCAATGTAAGGGACATTCTTCCCACTGACCCCCAATGTAAGGGACATTCTTCCCACTGACCCCCAATGTAAGGGACATTCTTCCCACTGACCCCCAATGTAAGGGACATTCTTCCCACTGACCCCCAATGTAAGGGACATTCTTCCCACTGATCACCAATGTAAGGGACATTCTTCCCACTGACCACCAATGTAAGGGACATTCTTCCCACTGACCACCAATGTAAGGGACATTCTTCCCACTGACCCCCAATGTAAGGTGCACTCTTCCCACTGATCACCAATGTAAGGTGACACTCTTCCCACTGACCACCAATGTAAGGGGCATTCTTCCCACTGATCACCAATGTAAGGGACATTCTTCCCACTGACCTCCAATGTAAGGAGCATTCTTCCCACTGACCCCCAATGTAAGGGACATTCTTCCCACTGATCACCAATGTAAGGGACATTCTTCCCAACTGATCCCCAATGTAAGACATTCTTCCCACTGATCCCCAATGTAAGGTGCACTCTTCCCACTGTCCATCATGACATTGTACCATGAGCTCTAGATTTAGTAATTAGTAGTAGTGGTTTCAAATCATTTCAAGGGTTCCTTCTGTTTTAAAAAGGTTGAGAAACGCTGACCTGGAGTGTCACTAGTGCAGCACTGGAGACTTTGCACACTTCGCTGTCTGTGTACATTGTTACTGGTCAGTAACCCTCTAAGCAGTGCAGCCAGGACCGGATTTCTGGGACTACACATCAAAAAACAAGTCATCAATGACAGCTCCCATATTTCTTTGGTGCCAGGTTCACTTTGATGTCCTCAAAGCGGCAAAGTTCTGGCTCTTGAATGTACAGTTTCCACCAGCCACATAATACTAGGGCTGAGGAATTTCACGGGATATTACACACATGCCCGCACTCAGCTGCGTTTATGGTTTTGGCCTGAAGTCGTACATTCTGCAGATGGCTGAGACTTGGAAGGGGAGCTTGTGTTGTGCAGACTAACAGCCAAAAACTGAACGTACACAAATTATACAACACAGAGTGAGTATGAAAGGTCATTACATAACCTGGCTTGTATATAACAGGGTGATCCCCCCCCCCCCCCCCCCCCGGGTCTGCCGTGCTATGGACACCAGCTGTAAACAGATCACAAACGCTCAGATATTCGTAGCGCCCCTCAGTGAGCCTCATTCAGCCTTTGGCTGTGTCTGGGACTGGTGTAAAACAATCTGCAATGTAAGTGATTTGTGGAAAAAACGACACGAATGGTATTCCCTGTATGTTTGGTTTTGTAGTAAGTACGCTCAGCGCAGATGATGTCAGTCCAAAGCAACGCAGAACAGAGATCCTGACTGCAACATGGAGCAATGATTGTGATCCTGATGTGAAAGTGGAACTTTACTCCGAAAATGAAGTCCTGGTAGATCACTTCAGTCCGGCCCCCTTTTACAGGTATACTTACAGTTGCAAGAAAAAGTATGTGAACCCCTTGGGATTACGTGGAGTTTTTGCATGAATTGGGCATAAAATGTGCTCTGCACGTCATCTAAGTCACAACAATAGAAGAACACAGTCTGCTGAACATAATACTACACAAACATTAGATGTTGCCATGGTTTAATTGCACATAACATGTAAACATTCACAGTGCAGGGAGGACAAAGTATGTGAACCTTTGGATTTAATAACTGGTTGACCCTCCTTTGGCAGCAATAACCTCAACCAAACGTTTCCTGTAGTTGCAGATCAGACCTGCACAACGATCTGGAGTCATTTTGGACCACTCCTCTTCACAAAACTGTTTCAGTGTAGCAATATTCTTGGGATGTCTGATGTGAATCGCTCTCTTATGGTCATACCGCAGCATTTCAATGGGGTTTGAGGTCAGGACTCTGACTGGGCCACTCCAGAAGGCGTATTCTGTGCTGTTGCAGCCATTGTTTTGTTGAATGACTTGTATGCTTTGGGTCATTGGGTCATGTTTTGTGTAGTATTATGCTCAGCAGACTGCGTTCTTCTATTGTTGTGACTTACTTGACGTTCAGAACACATTTTATGCCCAATTCATGCTAAACTCCACGTAATCCCAAGGGGTTCACATACTTTTTCTTGCAACTGTATGTAAAACATTAGAAAATAAGTGCCTTTACTGCTTAAACTCCAGGAATACATGGTCACTAAACACCCTGCTCTGCACATGCTCAGTCGCTTTCTATTTTTCAACATTGTGCCAAAAATACAGTAAATTGGAGGTAATTGCAAGCGCAAAAGAGCATATAAGCAGCTAGCATATACAAGGTAAAACCTCTGCACCTCTGCACACTCTGGTAACGTCTGGCACTGCTGGTAACTTCTGGCACTGCTGGTAACTGGCACTGCTGGTAACTTCTGGCACTGCTGGTAACTTCAGGTGCTGAGAGCCAGTAAAACTATGCACTTACCAGAAGCGCATATTAAATGCGCAAAACAGCTATATGCTTAATAGGGTCATCTAGGTCTGGTCTAGGGCTGCGGGGTCATCAGGCTCAATGTGGACACATGGGAACAAAGGTTAACCCCTTTGACAACATGCTGGTGCACGAAACGCGTTAGAGAGGAGCCAACCGGAGTGACGTCACGCGGCACACGGCCGGCTGCCATTTTTATTTACCTTTTTCATAACCACATGTGAGTTTACTCTATTTACCTGGAGTTTTTTCGCCTATCATTAATAAAAACATACTACACTATTGGAACCTATTTGTTCTTTGGCTTGGTCATTATGAGCCCTATAAGGTGGAAACCATATCTGGATCTGGAATAATACCTTGGAGCTGTTTCTGATGGGTATGTGAGCGGAGTGTGACCCTTGTGTGTGAGCATCATCATCCCATGTGTCCACATTGAGCTTGATGACCCCCCGCAGCCCTAGACCAGACCTAGATGACCCTATTAAGGATATACCTGTTTTGCGCATTCAACCACCTCCTGTCCGGAACCGTTTGTATATAAACGGCCGAACGGTGGCACTGCAGAGTCGGGTGGCCGTTTATATACGCTGCTTGTGCGCGCTCCATGGGTTCCTTTGGACACAGTGAAACACTGATCGTCGGACAGGACCTCTGTACGAGGTCCCGATCATGTGATCACTGATTGGCCAATCAGTGATCACAAGCAGAGTAGTAAGCAAGATGTCACGTGACATCATTGCTTACTACGTGTGAAATCTGTGAATGCTCACAAAGGTCACATGGTACAAGGCTATTCATAACAGCCTTGTACCATGTGACAAGCTGTGACCAATCACAGCTCACTCAGTAGTTTCCCAATGGCTGCAAGAATGCAGACAGAGAGAAAGAGAAATGATTGCTTTTACATCCTATATAAGTATAAAAGCAATCAGTGTTAAAAAAAAAAAAATCATCACCCCCCACAAGTAGTACAGTGTCACCATGGTGACACTGTACTGCTAGGGTGACAGTATAACAAAAATAATATAGAAAAAAATAAAAATGTAAAAAAATGTTTAAAAATTATAATTTTTTGGTTATAAACTAATTTGGCTTATTTATTTATTTATTTATTTTTTTACTAAAAAGATAACGGAATAAATTTTGGCCAGGATTTATGATGAAATATTATTTGCAAAATTTTATAAGAAAAACACTTTTTTTCAAAATTTTTGGACTTTTTCATTTACATAGCAAAAAATATAAAAATAATAAATACCACCAAAATAAAGCTTTATCTGTCTCAAAATAATGGTAAAAAATTCATATGGGTACAGTGTTGCATGACCGCGCAATTGTCATTCAAAGTGTGATAGCGCTGAAAGCTGAAAATTGGCCTGGACAGGAAGTGGATGAAAGTGTCCGGACTGGAAAGGGGTGAAAGCGTCCGGACTGGAAGGGGTGAAAGCGTCCGGACTGGAAGGGGGTGAAAGTGTCCGGACTGGAAGGAGGTGAAAGTGTCCGACTGGAAGGGGGGTGAAAGTGTCCGGACTGGAAGGGGGGTGAAAGTGTCCGGACTGGAAGGGGGGTGAAAGTGTCCGGACTGGAAGGGGGTGAAAGTGTCCGGACTGGAAGGGGGGTGAAAGTGTCCGGACTGGAAGGGGGGGTGAAAGTGTCCAGACTGGATGGGGGTGAAAGTGTCCGGACTGGAAGGGGGGGTGAAAGTGTCCAGACTGGAAGGGGGGGATGAAAGTGTCCGGACTGGAAAGGGGGGGTGAAAGTGTCCGGACTGGAAGGGGGTGAAAGTGTCCGGACTGGAAGGGGGTGAAAGTGTCCGGACTGGAAGGGGGTGAAAGTGTCCGGACTGGAAGGGGGGAAGTGTCCGGACTGGAAGGGGGTGAAAGTGTCCGGACTGGAAGGGGGTGGAAAGTGTCCGGACTGGAAGGGGGTGGAAAGTGTCCGGACTGGAAGGGGGGGAAAGTGTCCGGACTGGAAGGGGGGAAAGTGTCCGGACTGGAAGGGGTTAATATGCGCTTCTGGTAAGTGCATAGTTTTACTGGCTCTCGGCCCCTGAAGTTACCAGCACGGAGCACAGATCACCCCATTTATGGATCGTTATATCTGTTGATTGGACTATTCACATCTGTCACCCAACTATATGCCTTTTGTCATATTGAACCGTCATTATAAGACGTAACCATCACTTCACCATTTATGCGCCTCAGCAGCGCTCACTCTATATGTATATATTTGTATTAATACTATCATTGTGTATCATATGTTACTATTTAGCGCTGCATATTTATTACTTTTTATTGTGCCAAAAATGTTGAGGTTGATCTGCTGACAGCCTAAAGATTTAATGCTGCTCAGAGGCTCTGGGCTTCAGCCAAATGTCCGCCTCCGGTAAGAAGAAACAGGACCAATGCTGGAGGCAATTTACAGCACACACTCATTTTGGTAGCACAATTATTAAAGTGGAATGTACCCCCGTTTCCCCAAAAAAATAAGACCTAGTTGTGATCAGGGCTTTTTTTTCAATCGGAATGCAGTTCTCCCACCTCCAGCGCTGGTCCAATTAGTAAAAGTTTCTTTCAGCCGATGTCCGAGTCGCATGTTTGTGCGATGTCTCAGCTGCTTCCCATCACAGATGCATTCCCATTCTTATATCAATGGCCACAGTTCCCATCACAGTCCCCCAATTCACATCAATTTCCCATTCACACTAGTGTCCACTGCCCCTTCACCCCCCCCCCCCCCCCAGCATTGCCTCCCTTATACATCACTCCCCCACAGCACTTGCCCCCCCCTTACATCACCCCCCTCCTTAATGAGATCTCCACCCCCCTACAGCACTGCCCTCCTTTACATCAGGCCCCACAGCACTGCCCCCTTTCGCATCACATCTTACCTCCCCCCCATCAGCACTTTTCCCCTTTCACATCACCCCCCCCCAGCATTGCCTCTCTTATACATCACCCCCCCACAGCACTGCCCCCCCCCCCCCCCCCACACTTTACATCACCCCCTCACCAGCACTGCCCCCCCCACATCACCCCCCTCTTTAATCAGATCTCTGCCCCCCAGCAGCACTTTCCCCCTTTCACATCACCCCCCCCCCCTTCTCCCAGCATTGCCTCCCTTATGCATCACTCCCCCCCAGCACTTGCCCCCCCCTCACATCACCCCCTCTTTAATCAGATCTACGCCCTCCGCCTCAAAGCACTGCCCTTTTACATCAGGCCCCACAGCACTGCCCCTTTCGCATCACATTTTACCTCCCCCCACCAGCACTTACCCCCTTTTTACATTACACCCCCCCAGCCAGCATTGCCTCTCTTATACATCACTTCCCCACAGCACTTCCCCACCTTTACATCACCCCCCCACCAGCACTGCCCCCCCTCACATCACCCCCTCTTTAATGAGATATCTCCCCCCCCCCAGCACTGCCCTCCTTTACATCAGGCCCCACAGCACTGCCCCCCTTCACATCACATGTTACCTCCCGCCTATCAGCACTTTCCCCCTTTCACATCACCCCCCCCCCCCCCAGCATTGCCTCTCTTATACATCACCCCCCCCCCCCCCCCACAGCACTACCCTCCTTTACATCAGGCCCCATAGCACTGCCCCCTTCGCATCACATCTTACCTCCCCCCACTAGCACTTTCCCCCTTTCACATCACCCCCCCCCCCCCCAGCATTGCTTCCCTTATGCATCACTCCCCCACAGCACTTGCTCCCCCCCCCCCAGGACTGCCCCCCCCTCACATCATCCCCCTCTTTAATCAGATCTCCGCCCCCCCCCCCCCCAAAGCACTGCCCTCTTTTACATCAGGCCCCCCCACAGCACTGCCCCCCTTCGCATCACATCTTACCCCCCCCCCCCCCCCCCCACACACCAGCACTTTCCCCCTTTCACACCCCCCCCCCCCACACACACAGCAGTGCTCCTATTTACATTTCCCCTCACAGCACTTGCCCCCCTTCACATCATCCTCCCTCCCACAATAATGTGCTCTCCCCCCCCCCCCCCCCCCCCCACACACAGCATTGCCCCCAATTTCATTTATTTTTTTACCATTTGTGTAAGAGAAATGAACAAAACAGGAAATTGTTGTTGCAGTGAGTTAAGTTGGGCTTTAAGTTGCAGTCGGTGACTTTGCCTAGGCAGGGGCCAACCTGTGGAACTGTACAGGCACCAGGATTTGCATGATCGTGTCATCTCAGATCAGGAAGTGTATGGTGACCCTGGACGATACCTGAAGAAACTTGGCGCTTTCCTTCTGGAGAGTGTGTGAAGGCATTGCCAGGGGGAATACTGTGATCTCTGTGAGAGGTACAGACCGTTCAAGATTCCACATCTGCATTTTAAGTGATAGAACGTGTTCTACAGTAGAAAGTTCTGTAACCTTCGTATAACAGAAATTGTAAGAGACAGCCAGGCCAGGAATTTTAAATTGAGGTATGTAAATCAAAGGTTAGGCATCCAGTAGTCTGACAGGAACAAATAATATGTTTGTGTGCTCCAGATCCCCACACACGGATTTCATCAGGAATTCTTTGGAAAAGCACGATTCACCCTTCACCTGCACAAAGCGCTGGGAAGACACACGGACAACAACTACAGAGGGGACTATAGGTGCCCACCCTCACCTCAATGTGGAAGGAAAAGGATGAGGTCCGTTTTATAGTGCATTAAGAGGAACTCCAGGGAAAAAACTTTATCAAACAGCACAAGTCATGTAATTACCTGCAATGAGGAGTATACAATCACAAAAAGGCCGGGGAACCAGGAAGATAGAGAAGCAAGCACATGACAGGATCTCCCTTCTTCCATTCATGCACCTCCAAGCTTTTGGAAACAGTTTGAGAAAGGCCCTTTTCTGTTCTAACATGACTGTGCTAGCCAGCTCGATGAAGGCATGGTTTGACCAGTTTGGTAAGGAGACTTTCACAGAGCCCTGACCTCAACCCTACTGAATACCTATAGGATAGACTGGAAAAAACAGATTGTGGGCCAGGTCTTCTCATGTAAGTTCAGATCCTGGCCTCAACCCTACTGAACACCGATGGGATAAATTGGAAATCGGATTGTGCGCTAGGTCTTCCTCTCCAATATCAGTACCTGACCACAACCCTACTGAACATCTACGGGATAGATTGGAAAACAATTTGTTGGCCAGGTCTTCTTATCTGACATCAGTACCTGATCTCAACTCTACTGAACACCTCTGGGATAAATTGAAAATCAGATTGAAGGGGCAAAACGATTTATCCAAAATTAGTACCCAACATCAACCCTTCTGAACACCTTTGGGATGGATTGGAAAACAGATTGTGGGCCTGGTCTTCCTGTCCAACAGTATCAGTATTTGACGTCAACCCTACTGAACACATTTGGGATGGACTGAAAAGCAGATTTTGTGCCCGGTCTTCTTGTGCAACATCAGTATTTGACGTCAACCCTACTGAACACATTTGGGATCGACTGAAAAGCAGATTTTGTGCCCGTTCTTCTTGTGCAACATCAGTATTTGACGTCAACCCTACTGAACACATTTGGGATCGACTGAAAAGCAGATTGTGGGCCAGGTCTTCTTATCCAACATCAGTACCTGACCTCAACCATACAGAAAACTTTTGGGATGGATTGGAAATCAGCTTATGGGCCAGGTCTTCTCATTCAACATCAATACCTGACCTGAACTCTACTGAACACCTTTGGGATGAATTGAAAATCAAATTGAGGGCCAGGTTGACTTATCCAACATCACTGACTGACCTCAATCCTACTGAACACCATTGGGATGGATTGGAAATCAGATTTTAGGCCAGGTCTTCTTATCCAACATCAGAACCTGACCTTAACTCTACGGAACACCTTTGGGATGGATTGGAAATCAGATTTTAGGCCAGGTCTTCTTATCTAACATCAGAACCTGACCTTAACTCTACGGAACACCTTTGGGATGGACTGAAAATCATATTGAGGGCCAGGTCATCTTATCCAACATTAGTACCCAACATCAACCCCACTGAACACCTTTGGGATTAACTGAAAATCAGATTGTGGGTCAGTTCGATATATCCCACATTAGTACCTGACATCAACCCCACTGAACATCTCTGAGATGGATTGGAATACTAGTTGTGAGCCAGGTTTTCTTAGCCAAGATCAGTACCTGACCTCAACCCTACTGAACACCTTTGGGATGATCAATTGTGAGCCAGGTCTTCTACATCAGTACTTGACCTCACAAATGATATTTTAGCTGAATGTGCACCAATTCCTACAGACACACTACAAAATCTTGTGAAAAGCCTTCCCAGGAGAGTGGAGATTGTTATAGCTTCAAAACCATATGGTCATAATGGAAAATTGTAATGTTCATGGTTTTGCAATGGGATATTCAACATGCTCATATAAGTGTGTTTGGTAAGGTGTTCACAAATTTCTGTCATATATATTATCAAATGTCTACAAACATTCAACCATATGAATATTATGTCCTTTTCATTGCTTCATACTTTTTAAGTAAATGAAGCAGCTTTCCCAGAATGAGGCGCACACCTTCTCTAGGATGTCTATCACACGTACACCTCTTATTCCTAAACATGGGAAATAGCTTTATGTAAGAATTATAGATCCAAAGGGATAATTATCCCACTAAGGTTGTATTTAATGGCAAAATGAATACATAATGATCTATGCGCAGGCTGAATGGTTTGCCCGCACACTGGCCATGGATTCCAGCAAGCCTAGCACTGCTCCGGATTTGGTGCCATTGGTGGTTTTGGCAGATCTTCCTACTGCAGGCTCACCAGCTTGGGAAGAAGACGCTACCCCCTAGAGCAGTGGTTCTCAACCTTCCTAATGCCGTGACCCTTTAATACAGTTCCTCATGTTGTGGTGACCCCCAACCATAAAATTATTTACCCAGTAATTATAATTCATGAGTATCGTTTT